CCCCATGGCAGCCTCCCTGGCCCAGCAGGCAGGGCGGGGCGCTTCAGCACAGCTCCCAGGCTTCAGCCATGCTGAGGCTATGCTGAAGCTGGGGGTGGAGTGTGGGTGGTGCCATGCCTCCCAGTTCAGGAAGACAGTGCCTTCCCCTGCCCTGAACCCTGACTCCCAGCCCTGGTGCCTTAAAGGGTTGTCTGAGGCATGGCTGTTTCTGTATGGCCCAGTGTCCTAGCTACACAGGGGCAGATATAGGGCAGGGCGAGCCGGGCGGCCGCTCCAGGCCTCGTGCTTCAAGAAGCACCGCGCATGCGCCGTGGCAAAAGGGGGGGGGGGCACAAAATTGAGCTGTCCTGGGCCCTGCAAAATGGTCATCTGCCCCTGTAGCTACAGATTCCCATGCCTCCCACGCCTCATCAGCCCAGAATTCTACCTGTTTGAGATGGGGGGGGCGGGAGAGGGAATGGTCCCTCATAGACACTGGATTTAAAAATTCTCTTGGTGCCAAGTGAGTGCTCAAGGGTTGCCCTCAAACCAGCATGCTGGGTCCTTATCCCTCACACCTCTCCCCTTTGCCTTTCCTCTCCACACCTCAAGATGATGTCCAGCATCATCTCTTCTCCCTGCCCTTCTTTCTGTGTCTCTGCAGAGTGCGTTGGGAAGGTGTAATGCAATTAAACAGGGAAGCCAGCCATCTGGCCCTGGCTTTTGCCAGACCTCGTGGGAAGGAGGGGGATGGGATGGTCATCTGTCTCTTAAACCAAGAGCTGGGGGTGGGGTGATGGGTGTGCCGGAGAGTTGGAGAGTGACGCAGACTCCTGCCCTTTAAACTGGGGAAGTAGCAGAACCAGATGGCTGATGGGTGCATGGGTCTGGGGTGAATCTCTGTGTGTGGCCTAGGGGATGCACCTTCCCCTTCTGATCTGGTGGAAGGATGTTAGCCCCCCCTCCCCATAGCTGAGCCTGGTTTAGGGGAGTCCTGGTCACTTTAAAAGAGGAAGAACTGGGCTGGGGGTGGGGGTGTGGGGAAGAGTAGGGGGGCAGGGAGGCTTGTGCACGCTCCTAAACAGGCAACCCCACTTTCCCCACCACCAGTGTGTGTCTGGGACCAGCTGAGAGACCAGCTGTGCTGCTTGGGAATGCAGATGGCTGAGCAGCCTTTCCTGAGTGCGTGGCATGCCCTGGTGGGCACCCTGCCTGTAAGCCTCCAAAGATCTGGGACCAGCTGAGAGACCAGCTGTGCTGCTTGGGAATGCAGATGGCTGAGCAGCCTTTCCTGAGTGCGTGGCATGCCCTGGTGGGCACTCTGCCTGTGAGCCTCCAAAGATTTTTTTTCCTCTAGGCCGGGAACCTTCCCCTTCTGCAGCATCCCAGCCTTACCCTCCAGCCCCAGAGGCAGTAGCATCTCCCGCCTCTGGGGCTGGAGGCTATGGGAGAGAGAAGGCGCCTCTTACTTCTAGGTCACTGGCTCCTATCTAGCCACAGGTCACGAGTGACTGTTCCAGCTGGAAAATGCCCTTCCTTGCATATTTTAGCTGGCTGCATCCACTAGGCCCTTCTCAACCTTTCCTAGCTGTCCGCTGCGTCTGATTTTAGAGGTCTCGAGTCAGGATTCCTCATTGTGAAATTCTTTCCCCTTGAGAATCAGTCTCCCACTCGGAGAGGTTCTGACATTGAACCCGAGTTCCTTTTCTTGCCTTCATCCCTTTAGTCCAGGGTGGGGAACCTCTTTTAGGCTGGGGGTGGGGAGGGCTCTGACCCACAGAAAAATCAGTCGGGGGCTGCACACAAGTGAGAAGCAAAGTGAAAAGCCCTGATGGAGGAGGGAAGACACTCCTTACACTTCCCTCCCACACCAGAACCTAGGGAGGCCCAGGCTAGTAGATTGTATGCTCCAGCCCGGGGCTGCCCAACCTGACCCCAGGGGAGGTGGGACTCGAACCTGTGACCCTGTCCTCCTCCCCAGGCAAATGTCCTATCCCCTAGGCCATGTGGGAACCCGCCCCATTATTGTGGGCTCTCCAATGCTGGGGGTGGGGAGGAGAGCCCTGAGCCTGGGGGGCTGGATCCAGGCAAGCCAAGGGCTGCATCTGGACCCCAGGCCTTAGATTTCCCCACCCCTGCTATAGAACTAGTTATGTTCCTCTTAAGTAGAGATTCTTCTTTCTCATTGGCATTTACGTCCCTCGGAGGTTGATTGCTTGTGCACCATCACCCTGTCATCCACATCTCCTAGTCATGCTGTACAGAACACCACACCCTTGTGTCTGTGTGGGTGGGGTGTGTGTGTGTGTGTCAGCTGAGGGATTTGACCTTGGTGCCTCAAGACCTTTGAGCCACAGCTGTAACAGGCCCGTCGACCGCTGTCTGTCCCAGCCCCCAGGACAGCGGGAACACAGAGTGGGTGCGTGTAACGTGTACGCATTTGTGTCTCTGTCTTTCCTGATCACTCCATGCTGCCAGCCCCCTGAACATATGCAAAGTGCAGATGCAGAGAAATATTATCCCTTCCCCCCCCTCCCTCAGGGGACTGTGCAGGGCTCGGATAGGGCAGCGGCGACTGCTTCAGCAGTAGCCACCCAGCACTCAGGATTGATACGGCCAATGGCTTGTTCCGTGCATGGCCTGGTCAGGCATCCTTGGCCGCTGACGGTCAACAGCTGCAATTGCCCTCCCTGGGCAAAGGAAATGCCTGGAACGGATGGGTCTGTGGAAGTGCAGAAATCTTGAGCCGATGGGCCCTGGGCCAGGGGAGGTGAGGGGTCTCCCAGGAGCACTGGCCTCCTGGCTGGCTCCCCTCCTGGCTGTCGCCCTGGGCGCTGCCAACAGCTGCTTGGGGCTCTTTGTCCCAGCAACCATGGATGTTACCAGACCTGCGGGGGTCAAACTGTAGTGTCACCCTCTACTGTTCTGCAAGCAGGGCCGACTTATCCAGTAGGCACAGTGCCTAGGGCCCACGATACTTTCAGGGGCCCACGAAAATGTTTTAATTTCTTTTAAAATCAGAAGGAAAAAAAATGAACTTTTAGGGTCGAAGAAAATGTTTTAATTTTTTTCTCATCAGAAAAAAACAAAACTTTTAGGGCCCACGAAAATCTATTAAATTTTTGCCTAAAACAGGAAAAAAAATGTTGAAGTATTTAAAGTTATATCAAAAATAACTGTGTTTTTTTGTTTTGTTTTGTTTTTGTTTTGTTTTTGTTTTTTTTTTAATGGAGGAAAGGGCCCACGAGGGCAGAAGTGCCTAGGGCCCACGGAAGTCGTCATGCGGCCTTGTCTGCAAGTGAGAGTGCCAATCTGTGGAGGCTTGGTGGGCAGGCGTGCCTTTATCCTGTGCATTTGGCTCGGACTCTGCAATCTCCCCTCCTTGTTGGGGCGCTTCTTGACACCTCTGTCGGATCACTGCTCTGAGCACTACCTGGGGCTCCCTTTGGAGGCCTCTTATGAGCTTCAGCTAGGGCAGGTGGCAGATGCTTGTTTAGTGAGCCCAGCGGAGGGCGCAGGGCGTACCTCCTGCCCTGGGTAGATGGTGCCAGCTTTTTACTTGCTTCCAGGTACAATTCAAGGCATTGACTTGAATCTACAACCCCACCCTGTGCTGTAGGTCCCAGCTGGGCACGAGCTCAATATGTTGAAGGTGATATGCATGTAGAGCTGACGTGAGGCAGGTCCTGTAGCGGGATGGGTAATCCCAGTGTTTCTCAATCTTTTTAAATAAAAAAAAAAAAAAAAAAAAACTAGGTACCCCCGGTACCTACCGTTTTCAGACACGCACCATTTTTTTTCTACCTTTGCAACGCATTTGTTTAACAACTTAATTGTAGCCGGGCAGGCGCTGACTTTTTTGGGGTATAAAAAGTACAAAAATAAAGCGCTGTAAAACTTAAAACAAATTTCAATTCCCCCCACCCCCCCCCCAGATTTCTCTCAAGTACCCCTAAGGGTACTCATACCTCTGGCTGAGAAATACTAGGTTATCCCATCATGCATTGCCCCACATCAGTCCCTGAGCCTGTGGCAAAGCTATTTACACAGATGCGCTGGGAGTGTTCTAGGCCTGTGGATCAGAGTGGAAGAGCTGAATTCTGTTCTCACTGACACCAGAGCGAGTGTGGAGACATTGCTTTGATTTCATTGGCACTAACCCCAGGTTTTCCCTGGTGGAAATGTGATTGGAAGCAGCATGGACGTGTTTTGCACTGGGCTGTGTAAGCTGCAGGACGTGGGAAAACGAGGCCCTTTCAGCAGATCTTAGACACAAGACATTCACTGCTCCTAAACCGCTTGAGTTTGTTGCTCATCAGAGATGGCAGAAGGCCAGTGTGTGTGTCTAACCTGGCTTGCTCCTGAGATGGGCCAACAGAGCAGGTGGGGCTCTGGGGGGCAGGTGGCTTGGCGGGCGTTGTGGCAATAGGGAATGTTTCTGCGTTAGTGGGAGTGAACACTGTCTTAACCTTACACTAGTCTCATTTCTGCTCTGGTGGGTGTGTGGTGAGGGCCACTTCCTCCCAAGGGAAACTTTAAAGCTGGGGCCAGACCTCTCCACTATAAACCCTGCCTTTTTGCTAGCTACCCACAGTATGCCTCCTGACTCCCCCACCCTCTCTACCTTCCTCCAGTCCTGCTGTCTCTTCCCCACATCCCCTTTGGCAGCAGCAATAGCTTCCACAAAGTCTCTGGGTCCCACATGTGGCTGGAATTTGGATCCCAGTCTCACCCAGGTAAATTGGGAGTGACTTCAGTGAAATAAGTGCCGTCGCTCTGGATTTGCCTGGGTGGGACTGGATCACCCTCCTCGTTCTGAGGGGGGTCCCCTCCCAGAGTCTCAGCACCTGCACACTTGCCTTCCCATGGGGGTTACTAAGGGGTTCTCTTCTGTTCCCTCATCCTCTCACCGGCGTTGCCCTTCCTTACAGAAGCAGGACCAGGATGATGATGCCGACGACGTGGCGATTGCTATCGACAACACGGGGTTCATGGACGAGTTCTTCTCGGAGGTGAGGAGGCAGCGTGGCCCTGGAATGGGCCTCTGCCTAGTTTATATTGTCTGTGTCCCTTCTCCGGGAGGAGGGAGTGGGAAGAAGGGAGCTCTTGGAACTAGAGATTTCCCTCGCCCCCTACACACCTCCTTTGATGGTTAGCTATGGACAGGGCACAGATCTGGGTGCTTGATGACCCTAGGTCAGTGTTTCCCCATTTTATTTGGCTACGGAACCCCCAGGGCTGCATTTCATTGAGCGCAAAAAAAAAGCCCCACCGCGGCTCTATCTCTTTAAGAGGGGGTGGGGGAGTGCCAGCTCTTCGCGGAACCCCAGGGTTCCATGGAGCACCAATTGGGAAACACTGTCCTAGGTAAATCCTTTCCCTGCTCTGTACCTCAGTTTCCCCTCTTAGCCATTTTCTGTCTGGCCTGTTTAGAGTGTGAGCTGAATGGGGCAGGAGCCATCGCTGAATGGGTCTGAACAGCCCTTAGCAGCTGGTAGCCCTGATTGCAGTAAGGTGCTGCTGTAACATAGCTAATAGCCATCTCCTCTTGCCGTTTAGATTGAAGAAACCCGACAAAACATTGAGAAAATTGCCGAGAACGTGGAGGGGGCGAAGAAGCTGTACAGTATCATTCTGTCCGCCCCCATCCCCGAACAAAGTAAGTCTGAGCTTTCTCCTGCCCCCCAAACAAGAGTGAACCCAGGTCGCCCTCCTGCGAGAGGGGTTGTAGCTAATAGCCATCTCCTCTTGCCGTTTAGATTGAAGAAACCCGACAAAACATTGAGAAAATTGCCGAGAACGTGGAGGGGGCGAAGAAGCTGTACAGTATCATTCTGTCCGCCCCCATCCCCGAACAAAGTAAGTCTGAGCTTTCTCCTGCCCCCCAAACAAGAGTGAACCCAGGTCGCCCTCCTGCGAGAGGGGTTGGCCCAC